CTAAAAGTGATTTCCTACAGGATTTGTGCTCAGAAGGCACAGTTCCAGACTGTCAGACATGCATACATGGCAAATATGAGAATGACAGTGATAGTCTTCCAGAAGCATGATACTCATTATGCATAGTATACAGTTAGTTAATAAATGGAAAAATATCATATTAGTAAACACAATTGCATAACTTTGGGAAATGAGAATGCTCAGTTCAAAACATTGTTTTGAGATTTAGAGTTTTTCTCATCCACTGTATTCCCTTAGAAAACCACAAGCCATGTAGATCACAAGAAATGAACAGTGCCAAAATGACTAAACTATGTATGAGCTCTGTGTCACCCAAGGATACAAAATTTAGGAGGAATAGAGTAACATGCTAAATAATATTCGAAGTTTCTATAAATTGTCAGAAAAATACGTTGGCATTAGACTGGAAAAATGTCTAAACTCAGACATCAGTTTTCACCGAGATTTCTATTTGATAACTGGGGATATAAAAGGGTATGTGTACTGGCATGAAACTCTGGACAATATCAGAAGAGGTTACTTCCAGTACCTAACATGGAACCTGGGGAGAAGCTGGCTTTTAGGGAACTGTTTTTAATGTCTCTGTTTACATCATCTAGTTCCATTAGTTGCTGTTATAGATTTCCCACCTATATTTTGGGTCACAAGGTGTGTCTGAACATGAGCTTCTCTAGTTCTGTTTAAATTCCTTCTTTTGGAAAGCATGATACCTGTTTTCCATTAAAACTTTGCCATGATCCAGTTCTAGGTGGCAGCTAAATAAATTTTAGGAAAGCCCAAGAAGACCTGATTGAGGTAAGTCCTCAAGATGCCAAATAAACACCCAAGTACAATGGCTGTGGCCAATTTAATGAAAAGCCATGGAAGAGTTAACACTTTTTTTTATAGTATACTAAATAATATATATTATAATATGCATAATGCTGCATTACATATTATATAATCCTATTGATTTTGCTATTCAGCGAGGACTTATTAAACATGAGTTCAATTCCCTCCTCATCTTGAGGGGAATGAAACCTGTATCTGTTACCTCTATTTACCAGACTACAAAATATCTTGGCAGGAATAAAGAGTTGGATTGTGGCAATCCAAATGTCAGTCTTTGCATAACCTGGAAGTAATGTGGCAAGAAACAGCATAAATATAGAGGACATGACCTTGTGATCAGGACATTCATCTGGTTCTTCTGTCAGGATTACTTTTTAAATCATAACTGAATCCCCCTGGTCTCCACCCATTCCTGGCTGAATGCTCTATCTAAGCACAAGAATAACTTGTGCTTCCTCTTGTTTGCTCTCCTGTGGTTCCATGACCATACAGAAGGACAGGCTCTGCCAAAGGGAGGAGATGTGGCCCAGTAGATGGGTGCTTGCTGTCAAAGCAGCAGTCCTGCCACTGGAAGCTGTGTATATCAGGCAACTGTATTGCAGAGATGAGTCCAGCCATATTTTTGTTCTCACTAATTACAATTGACTAGTTTTAATCAGGTGACTCTTCAGTGGTGTTTGGGAAGGATATTTCTTGGATATATCCAAATCTCCCAGTTGACTGTAAACATGCCATTGAAATGTTTGTCAGACACTTATTACATGCCAGACCTTGTTTTAGATGTCCACTAGGTCCTGACATCTTAACAAATTTTGTAAATGAAAATGATGTATCTTATTTAGATATAAGAACTCCAATAAAGAATTAAAAACTAGGCAATATTATTTTAAAATTAGGAGAGCTTCTATCTTGAAATGTAGATTTTGCTGTTATAATTCTACCTACCAGCTGGAAGTAAGTGCAAGCATGTCTCCTTTTTTTTTACGAGTGAGTCATAAATTCAATCTATTAAACTGAAAAGCACTCTATATATTTCCTTCAAATTACAAATGAAAAGACAGTTACTGACCACAGTATAATTGCATTGCTCTGTCTCCATTATTTAGCTATAAAAAGATACGTTCTAACACACTTATCTCTTTGTTTCCAGAGAAGCAGTCTATCTTGAAATTCAGCACTGGGAGAAGAAAGCCAGCAGAATATCTAATTCAGAAGGTCATTTGTGTCAGCTTTGTTTGAAATCCTGCCCTAAATTTGAATGACAGAATGAATGTGGCCTCTGTTCATATGACACAAGCTGAAAAGTTATGAAGATTAACAGCTTTCCAGTCAGCTCCTTGAAACATGCAACTACATTTGTAGTGGATGGGTTTTCTTGAAAAAGTATTCCCTACATTTAATGCTGCATACCATGGCACTTTATAACACATTTATCCAGCATATCACATTCACATGGCGTGGCACAACCACTGAAGGAAAAATAGCAGAAGGAAAATAGCAGAAGATGGAAAAATTGTGGAGATAAGGCTAGAGGTGAGCAAATATGTTATATTAACTATAACTTGCTACTCACTAGGAGTAGGAAAGGAAGTGTATTCAAATTTAAAACAGAAAACAGAAAAATAATACTTAAAATTGCATTTTAAACTTTCATATTGAAGTGATTTTCAGTAGGTGATTCCTGTATTTAATAGTGTGGAATGAAACAGAATATTTATGAAGCATTACAAAATAGCCATTCATTGGTAAACCTGTCTGAGCTCCTTCACAACAGAACAAATGAATTTTGTTTACACTGACATTTAAGATTACCCTTGAAAGTAACCTTCTTCCAGTTTGGGCTTTACAAATTGGTCTTCTCTGCCTACATCTTCACTGAGCATCTGCACTGCAGACCAGTGCATTTGCTTCTAGATCCTCCCTAGAAGCCCTCCAGGGAAAAATGAAATCATTGTCATCTCTGCTTTCAAACCTAGCACTGATTCTGATAGAAAAAAAATTATTAAAAGACTGAGGCATTTTGAACTGCTCTGGGTAAAGGTCTGCCAGGACAGGATTGAGGACAGGGACTTTATACAAGAGCATGTAGTGATAGAACAAGGAGGAAAGATATAGATTAGATATTGGGAAGAAATTCTTCACTGCGAGGGTGGTCAGGCACTGGAACAGGTTGCCTAGAACAGTCCTGGATGTCCCATCACTGGAAGTGTTTAAGGCCAGGTTGGATGGGGCTTTGAGGAACCTGATCTAGTGGGAGGTGTCCATGTTAGGGGGCTTGGAATTAGATGATCTGTAAGGTCACTTCCAACCCAAACTAATCTATGATTCTATTATTCTATGATGACACAAGTGAGTGGTGTATATATTGCACAGCTTCATGCCCTGATACTCAACAGTCTTCTTAGGGTTAAGCTAACTCAGTTTCTAGCACAGGTATCTAGCAGCTCTGGATTCAACTGTCAGTGGCATCTAGGTAATTCCTTGATATTACAATAAGATATTACAATAATTATTAGCAAACATCTGTTAATTCTGGAAGAATCTGTATTTCCCACTATTTTAAAGTGATCAAAGACAGAACTGAATGGGATTTTAACTATTACACTTGAGCTCTGCTAAATATAATGACATTCTAGACCAAAATGTGTTTAGAGTTGACATGGTAAAAATCACTAAAAAGATAAGTCATGAGGTAAACTAATCTATGAAGGAGAACTTTACAAACACTTTGAATTAAGCTCAATGTTTTCCTTCAAATGTTATCCTATTTCAAAATCAGGCAGAAAAATTATAATAACAATAGTTGTATGTAGTCTGAAACAGTGTAACAGTTGTTAAACGAAGTGCAAATAAGAACTTAAAACTGTAACAGCATAACAGATATAGAATATAACTATTAGCTTTAAGTCTATTAAAATATTAATTGCTGTTGCATTGGAATCAAAGTAAGAACCACAGAAATTAATGGTTATGTGTCCAATTAAAGTTTGCAGAGAGCTTCTTGACATTGTAATTATAAAATTTGATTTCCTACTTTATCAAAATTGAGATAATCACAGAAAATGACAAATTTACAACATAGTGAATCCACTCCCTACAAAATCAGACAATGTACACTTACAATGCAGAATCCTACATATTGTTCAGTCTGTCACATCCAAATTCTACCATAATAGAAGGAACACATATTTGAAAGTAGATATTGACATATAAAAAATAATGTCTTGAGTTCATACTGTCTTCAAATGCAAGGACCAGGTATCTTACTGCAAGTAAATCCTAAATATAATGGAGAAAAGCAAAATAAGTATCTTAATAGTCTCCCTCTCATTTGCCATTCTCAATTTGAAAATTCAATCACCAAGATACAGATGTGTTTTTGAAAGCTTTAATCATCTTCCACGGCTCTCTAGTAGTTATCCATATTGCAGAAGAAAACTAAGAAGAGAAATTATGACAGAAAGTAGCAAACTGCCAAGGTATAAAAGGACAGAAATGTAATTGTTACAGAGATCCTCTTTCATTTCAAATCTTCCTTTGAACTGGCTTATAAAATGAGACACAACATGTTCACGAAGAGAATATAATTTGAGTTTATTACCTCATCATAACCAGCATATTATGAACTAATTTGGGACACTGAAAATTACATAGAATAATGCACAAAGAAATGCTATCCCAGAATTAAGGTGCTCTGAAACATACAAAGTACTTAATAATGATTTGTTCCGCCCAAACTGGTCTTTAGTCATACAGAGCTTTGCACATTTCCAATTTTTTCTTCTTAGCCTGCTTCCTCAGACTGATACTACTTTCTAAAAATCTTGACTAATTGCAGGTTGATGATCTGCAAATACGCAACTTATACTGTAACATAGTAGAAAAAGTCAGATTTCTGTATTTCAAAACTGAACAACAGAAGTTTACTGAAAACCTTTCCATGGTAGCTTTAAATATTCCCCATCAACAATAAATAATTCACAATTCATTTCAAAATTGCAGAACAATGTATAATTTTCATTCAAAACAGTAATTTGTCATGTAAAGCATAAAAGAAAATTGTTAGTAAATCTGCATTCAAAAAAGGTGACTATCTCTAGCAAATAACATTTGTTTATTAGATTTATGTTTTATGTATAAATTCTTACCTAAGTTGTTTAAAAGCTTCTGCTTTCACAAGTGGTGTTTCTACAGAGTGTTCAAAAAGTGCTCCTTCAGGCCCTGAAAAAAAAAAGGGAATAAAAATACTATAATGTAATGGTTTGAATGTAAAAAAAAAAAAAAAAAAAAAGCAAAAAAGCAACAGTTATTTATATGTCCATTTTGATATCAGAAATTAAGGTAACACATATTAAAAATTATAAGATAATTAAAATATAGCTACATTATTACCATTGCAGTATTAACTGAAAACCCACAATACACAGGTAATGTAAAAGTACAGCTGTAAATTTTTAAGATCAAATCTGAAAAGTCTGGAGACAGTGAAATTTTAAACTACCTGGGACAGGAAAATAGAATGCAGCTACCCTCCACAACAAATCCTGGGCTGCACAAAGCCCTAAATTAGAGCTTTGGAATCTGTCTAGACAGAGAATGGCAATGGACGATTAGAAAGTATGGTGTAGATAGTATAGATGTGGTATTAGATGGTATTAAATTGTGTATAAAGGGAAAAAGCTCATAAAAATCAGTGAAGGCAACCACAGAGGACATGGTAAAAGAAAAAAAAAGTAAAATCAAGAGAAACCATTTACAATTAATACATTGCTGAGACCACTGACAGGAAGACTACCACTTCATGGGGTCTGGGGGAAAGTTCTCAGGATGCCCGAAAAAAGCATGAAATGTTCTGGTTTTTGAGAAGAACTCTAGCTGATATCATGATTCCTTAGAATGAAATCTTCCTAGCTTGGATGGAAGAGTACACAAAATATAAGAATTACCATATTAAATCACTTTACCACTTTGAGAAATCATCAATTTACTATGCTTCTGTTTAAATTTTATTTAGCTGTTGATATCCTCATCATCAATTTAAATAGATTAATCTTTCTGGAAACTGCTAACTGGTATGAATCTAACACTGGAAAATTTAAATTCATTAATTCAGACAGAGCTTTAACCCTTCTTCATTAACATTAAGATTATTCTGCAAGATAAAACCTAATGTGTGGAGGGACATACTTAATTATTCTCCTGTTCTTGTATTTGATTTGGTGGGTGTTATAAGGTTGCAACCTTACACAATGAAGATGATTAAAAAAACCCAACCCCACACCTTAAGGAATTAAAAATATTTATCAGAAAATGCTGATTTGGTACAACTACGATGTCTTGTAGGGATATGCTGATCTGTCAGAATTGTAGATGTGGCCCTTGGGGACATGGTTTAGTGGTGGACTTGGCAGTACTGGGTTGGACTCAAAGATCCTCAAGGTTTTTTCCAACCTAAATGATGCTGTGATTCTGTGGTTTTATAAGGACAGGTAAGTGGTAACAGAGATAGCATCACTTGCATGGAAATAGGGGCTAATGGAAGAAAGCCAACAGGAAAAATCAGTGATAATGCTCTAGAAAGGGGGTTGTGGGTGTGTTATGAGAAGGAATCAAAAGGCTTATTTCCATATTATAGAGCTGTCACTTCTAAGCAAGAGTAAAACCTTCCCTTTCTGTGAGAAAAATTTCTTCATCAAACAGCATTGAGTTTGAACAGTATGACTAATAAAAAAAAAACCACCTCAGGGCAAATTTTTTTTTTTTTGGAAAATGGCCCTGAATTGATTTCTCGTCTTAATTTCCTACTTTGTCTTTTAAACTGCAAAGAAAGAAGAGTAGTTATGATATGACTATTGCTATATTCACTATTTTATAGACTAGTGTTTATTAATATAATGCAATTTAATCCTAAAACACACAAGAACAAGATATCAATTTTCTCAATGAGAGGACTGAAGCCAGCAAGATTCATTAACAGCCCACGCACCCAATCAAGCAAGGACCATTTGCCTCTTCAAAGTCTAACAGAATGTTTACTCATACCCTCAAATTGCCTCCTACTTAACTTACCTTTCTGAGCAGAAGTGTTTAAATTAAACCCACATCTTCACATTGCAGTTCGTTGTTAGCTACGCAAACTGAAAACTTTTGCATAGAACAGAGCACTAGAAAATCACAGACAATACTCAGCAAATACTTTAGGAGATTTTTTTAAAAAAGAAGCAAGCAAAAGGATGAGTAGTAAACTGGGGGGAGGGTGATGTGATTCTCCATAAAGATACTGATCCCCTCTGCCCTGCCACCTTTTCTTCAAAAAAAAAATCCCATATATGTAGATATGGCACTTGGGGACATGGTTTAGCGGTGAAAATAGCAGTGTTACATTAATAGCTGGACTCAACCCTAAAGGTCCTTTCTAACTCTAACGATTCAATGGCTCTATGAGTCTGCCATGACCATATACTTAGTTATAAAGCAACTGGGTCTTTGCCAGCCCATATACTGTTTCAAGGTGGGTTTCACTGTTACCAATGCCAACTGAATGTATATAACCTTATCAGAATGAAATGCTGATGTTCAGTACCTCCATAGCAACATAATAGATGTATGCAAAAGGTGCAGGTGAAATAATACTAAAGATGATGTCATTGGAGTACATGCTCCTTCAGGCAGCAGTAATTGACATAAAGGGCTAAGCTGAGCTTCAGTTTCATACACTTCAGTGTCTGAGATGTAGATGAGCTAGAGGCAGAATTTAGTTGCCTAATCATATGTACATATTGTCATCTAAAATACCATTGTATATCCTGTCTGGCCTCCAGCTGCAATGATCAAAGGAAGCGTCTCTTGTAGACAAAGCGATATCATGTGGTGTCTCACATACCTTAAGGTGTTTCACACACAGCTGGATAACAATGTTTTAGCATGTGAACTCAGCCACTATCCACCGTGTTCAACAGCGATGAACGAGCCGTTGAGCTCACCCTAAAGCAGATTACTGCATTTGGTTGGCACAAGAGCTCTCCACATGGCAGGTCTAGATGTTTCCTTCACACTCCAGGCTGCACAGGTTGTGTTGACTGGAGGTTCACTTCAGCTGTCTGAACATGGGCATCAAGACCTGTCAATGACCCTCTGGGGTATTTGAGGCACTTTGCTGGCCATGGCTTTCTCTGGGTGTTTGTTCTTCTTAGGAGAACAGAGACAGTCTGCTGATACTATATTCTACCACATGGGCTAGAAAATATCTGACTGAAATAGCATGAGGTGAAACACACAAAATTGTTGGAAAATGACAATTCCTGAGGTGTTGGGTTGGATTAGCTTATTTTTAGACTTTTTCCTTTGTGCTGAAATATCATAAATCATGGACATTTGCTCTCTGCTATATTATATTTTAGTTGATAACTGTCAGGTTTTCTTAGAAATTGTTACTGAGCTTTTCATAATTCAAATAAATGAGGAGAAATACACTCAAATACTTCACTATATTGTACATAAAAACTGCAAAATGTTCTTTGTGCATTTTAAGCACAGGGTCATCTGTTTCTTATGGTATGAACTTTTCAAAATTTATTTCACATTGATCTTTTTCTCTATCTAAAATGTCTAAAAATTATCTCAGTATGCAAAGTATTACTAATTTATCCTTCATGCTAATAGTATCATTTAAATCACAATAATTTATCCTTCATGCTAATAATATCATTTAAATCACAATTTTAATAAATTAATTTGAAGCAAAGAAGGCATGAATCTCCTCTTACTTTTATTAATTTTACACTGAAATAATCTCAGTTCTTTAATGTATTTGCTTTTGAATTTTACTAGGGCATAAAAAAGAAACAGCCAATGCATCTTGCTACAATATCTGCTGAAGTAAATAATTATCAAAGCAGTGTAAAGATTAATATTGGATGAGTCAGAATACATGCTTCAGCATAACAATTTCAACTTGTGTATGAATGATTTTTACTTACTTTGAGCAGAGATAGACCTTTTCCAAATCAGTTAACAATTATGCAGTTTTTCATATCTTTGTTAAACATGCTTTTCTATTAAAGTTTAGCATCCCTTGGGCAAACAATAATTATTTGATATGGTTTCCTGGTTAAACAAAGTTGTAATTTCAATTAGCTTAAAAAGTAAAAAAACTTAAGATAAGACCCTCAGGCATAAACAAAATTTATTAACACAATTATTATAACTTAACTTTGGCTTTGAAACACTAATCATGTAGTTACTACCATATCTATAGTTTTGCACAGGGAAATAACATGAATCTACCCATTCAAATTAAGACCTCAAGATTTCAGAGGACCAATAATTAGCAAAAGTCAAACATGATAGTTGCAATCAGATAAAACATATTAAAATATAATTTAAAACAAGTTACAGAATAATTTCAATATTTCCTTTGATGGACTCTTCTGCTTAAAGAGAAGTCACCCCTTGATATATCTATTTTAATGCAACCTTGCACCTACAAAATGAAGGTTAACTTTATCAGGTCATATGAAAGGAAATATTTTTTATGTGATAACTTTGACATATCACTTTGTAAATGAGTACTTGAGTGATTTGCAGAAACAGCCTAAGACAAACTTGTCTTTGACAGATGACATTTAAAATATACTACAAATATCATCCTGTGACATATGTGCTGCACGCAGAGCAAAAATACAGTGGCTTTCACTTTGAAAGATAAAATCATATAAAAATATCAGAGAGAGACTAAAGTTTTCACAAATCAAATGCATTACAACTCAGACTGGAATATCTAGAATATTTTCAGCCTCAGTTAACAGTATGCATTGGGAACAATAAATAATTCAGAAACAGATGCACCAGAGAATAAATACTTTCAGCCTCAGTTAACAGTATGCACTGGGAACATTAAATAATTCAGAAACAGATGCACCAGTACAGTTCCAACCACTAATGGCTTTAAAATAGAATACACACCTACAGACATATTTATATATTTATATAAAACTATTTTGTTGTTTAAAGTTCTTACTGATCATTTATTGAAAAAGTCAGAATGACTTCATATTTCTTCTTTCAGCCTCAGTTAACAGTATGCACTGGGAACATTAAATAATTCAGAAACAGATGCACCAGTACAGTTCCAACCACTAATGGCTTTAAAATAGAATACACACCTACAGACATATTTATATATTTATATAAAACTATTTTGTTGTTTAAAGTTCTTACTGATCATTTATTGAAAAAGTCAGAATGACTTCATATTTCTTTTTCCTAATGAAGCAAAACCAGAACTTGTGTTCACATACAATGGTGTATTTAAAAATGCCATTTTTATTGTGCTTTTTTTGTGAGTATTCTTTGGGAATTTCTTAAACCACTACAAACCTGTGACTCGAAGCTTGTCTGTGCCAATTACAACCTCATTTTCATCCACTGTAAAAAGTGGCTTTCCATCCTTTGAGTTGATCTGAAATTGCTGACTGTGGAATTCTACCATTTTAGGACCTGTAAAACACAGTAGAATAATGGAATAATTACAATAGCTTTATTCAATTTTCTACACAAATTGCTAATAATTTTAATTGATGTCTTAATAACTTAGTGACTCATTTAAGTGCATTAAAGATACTGAAGCACCCAGATATTCTAAGGATAGTGGCCCTGCAACTACTGAAATTGGCTAAGTCTATTTACATGATCTAATTTGTTGCTCAAAACTGTGCCTGGAGTCATGCTTTAAAGTTAGGTTACCAGGGAATTTAGGAAATCCCTCACAAATGGATCAAGACAAAGCATTTGCGTTCTTGGTGTTGAAACTGCGTTGATCAGTATGAGTTATCATTTTTATTTTCTTTATTTTTGAAACATAGAAACTAATTATTGAAGTCTTTGCAACATCATCCCTTTTGATTAGGGTGGCTCCAATGCTTAAAAGCTACAAACATGCCAAGCAAGAGCAGGACCCTCAGCTCTTCATAACAAATGCTGGTTTAGCTCCACATATCTAACAAATGCTACTGATCATGTACTTCAAAGAGTTTCAAGAAGATACAAGAGCATTTGCAACTGAATCTGGTACTCCAAAAATTAAAATTATTGTGTGCAAGAGAGTCTTTGCATTTTTCCAGATCCTAAATTCACTAAAACATTCTGTTCTACGTGACCGGCTTGCTAAGTGGGTAAAAATCTAACCCTTGATATTCCCTTTCCTTACAGCCTTATCAATTAAAAGTTCACATCACATAACTTTGAATATCTATTTGATAGAGTTATCTAAATCCATATTCAGAATTAGAATTACATAGAATGGTGAAAGCAGTTAAGACTCCTTTTCAGCAATTTTTAGTAAAGGTATTTCACAGACTATCCATGAGACCGAGAGGCACTGAACTGCTTCCTTCCCATTAAGAATCTGTCTTACCATGCCTACTAAATAAATGTTCTATATATTCCAGGCAGTAATTCTCAAAAGAAATAGGAATTATTATTTTTGCTTTTAGATCTTATGTTAAAATAGCATTAGGTGACAGGTGATTGATACTGCTAAGAAAGACATGCAGGTATTTCATGAAATCTGCATGATAGCTGATGCAAGACTCATTCCATGAGGTTCCATACAAATTTCTTATTGTTTCACTCAGCAGATGAAAAGTATTGCTTTTATTTGCCCACCAAGCACAGAAAGGGTTATAGAAGCCATAATGTCCTAAACCAGGGCAACAATTTTAAGGCATAAAACCCAATACTGATTCTCCTTGAAAATGGATAGAGGGCAGAACTCTGCATTATGTTATGCTCTGTTGCTCGTGTACACCTAGGCACAACCTTATGGACTTCAATTCGGTTCTTCTTTAAAGCTACTCAAGCACATGACTTTATTTCTGAGAAGTATGTTGCAAAAATTGAGAACAGAAAATATCTTGAACCAGTGAAAAGGCATTAAACAGCAATTTATTTCTTATTTTACAGCAAAAGAAGCAGTTCTGGGTAGGTGAAGCAAGGGTCATGCTTCCTCAGAAAATCTTTGTTGTTTTATTTAAGGTGCTTTCCAACCCAGGCCATTTTACAATTCTATGACTGTTCCTGTTAGTGCCCTGTATCAGTTATGAAACTGGCTACTTATGTAGTGTCGCTAGATCCCTGTGTATTCAAACAAATCAAAAGCCTGAGTAAACTGGGTGTTATCAACTCTATTGGTGCTGCAGTGGCTGTTTCCTCATACTTCCCATTCATCCAACCCCATGACTTTTAAAGTTAGGCTTAATTAAGGAAAAGCTCTGTAAGCACTGAGAGAACTCACTGCACATTATATACTTTCCAAAGAAGCTTTAACTTGGCTCTGAAACTACCACTCATGGCTTTGCTCGTGTTGGGTTTTTATCGAGATTTCTCTCATCTTTGATCATGGCCCTTGTGCACTTGAATAAATCTTTAACAAGAATCCACAGTTTCCTCATCACATATGCCCCAGTAAAGTCGAACAAGGATTGCCCGATAGATAATTTAATTATCAGAGAGTGGTGTGGATAAGAGTTGATGTATTTTGAATCTTTAAAGGGAATGCTAGGTTAAACCATTATCAAGCATATATTTTATTCATGCAAGAGATGAGACATTTCAGTATACGTGAAACAAGATACAAAAAGGAATAACAGGCATTTAAATAAATGGGAATAAATTTATGTAACAAAAAGCAACCATTAATTTCTCCTAGTTGTATTCCACAATACACATGCACTAGCTATATTGCAATAACACTAATTGTATTGCGATCCCAGGGAGATTAATTTTCAGCTCATAAACCACTGCCAAATTCAATATCTGAAACTCTAATCTCCTAATGCCTAAATGCGTTTTGTTTACCACACTAGTATATTAACTACATGTAAGTCAACTAATACTATATAATCATATTTGTTGATAAAATCCTACAACTAAAAATGCAGCCTGACTCAAAGCAGGTTACAGAAAACATTTGTTTTCTACTTGATGCCAGATGTGTCACAGGAATTTCCAGGTCAATGGGTTATCCTCGCTAATCAGGCTGATTACTGCCCATTGTTTCTTTACACTTCCTCCATTACTTGCAGCCCTGAAGTAGACCTTGCATATGATCATCACATCACAAACATCTTGACACTGAGGACGTTGCTTTAAATTACCAAAAATTCTTCCAAAGACAACTGACATACTGCTGAACAGTCTTCCCTTTCATTTCACCTCCACACTCTTGACTCACCTAGGGAAGAAAGGTCCTTTTTTCTATGAGCCCATTTCAGTTGAAAAGCATTTAAATAAATTGCCTTCTACTGCTACCCAGTCTTTGAATTCCAGGCCAATACATATATAGACAGCAATGGATCTTCTGTCAAAAATTGGGCTAGCCACAAAATACATATCCAAAAATGCTCCGTGCCAATGAAATTTGGAGAGTTTGAAATTTGAAGAGTCTGCCTGCATGTTGTCAGTATGCAGACTCTTCAAAGACAGTTAGTTCTGCCAAGTACTAAGCGCTTTCAGTATGTCTTTAGATCTTGCACAAGAAAAGGCTTTCCAACACTGAGTTTATTTCATTTAGATCTTTTATTTTCAATCATCTCTCTTTTCTTGTCCATCATTTCGGATAACCTATGGCTGTCAGCTACTCTGTATGCTTTGCTCTCCTCCTACCACCTAAAATCACTGAAGTGTTGATTATAAACCAAAATCCTGAGTGCTCTGGGGTATTGCTGTGCAATTTCATTTTTTCAGTTAATTTTTATTAAATTAAAGCACCTTACTTAAAATAAGATCTCACTAAAAGTGTATTAAAAATGGAATACTCCTACAGATTCAGTACTCATTCCACAAGTAATACAATACAATACCAATAAATGTAAAGTCATTACTTTCAGAACCATAAAATTAGTCATATTTTCATATGTAATGGTATAGAAGTACTTGCTGGTCTTTTATTAGAACAAAGGCATTATTACAGAGAATATGCTGCATATTGCATATATGCATTTTATGTCTGTATCATATATCTCTCATCACCTTGAAAAACAACTCTAATACATTAATAGATCACTTGCTGCTCCTGTTTCCTCTTTTTCTCTCAGTTCTCCTTTCATGCAATGAATCAAACAATGATGCCCTTTCAGATCAAAGCAAGAATGCCTTACTGTCAGCACTGCTTATACTTTGTTGTTCTCTTTGATTGAACACAAGACTAGAGGTCTTAAAAAATGGTTTTGAATGCTGGTTGCAGACACTGATCGTGCAGACTCTGGTCACCCAACTAGTACTAGGTATTTAGGTGATAGTACTTTCCACTCTCAGTGCGATTTAGCTAACTCAGTGTCTTTATTCATCTAGGCATTAACCTTATAAAACACTCTATTTAAACATATAAACAATAAACCCCTGAAATATTTCACAGTAAAATGGGTTATTGCACACAGAAAGCATGGCAGGAACAGGAGATTATGTTTCTTACACAGCTACTTGGCAAAAAGGCTATGGTGTCACCTTTTCTCTCAGGCCTAATGAATCCAGAATGATGAATAACTTCAACAGGAAAAGGTGAAACACACAGTCCACTGACAGATAAGGTGAAAAGGAAAGTATTAAAGGAGATGAGGCATGATAATTTGAAACCTTGTATACAGAGAGGCCGGCTGATCTGTCTCTCATCCTGAGTGAATACTTTAACCACTCTATCTCGTGTATAATGGATATTCTTTCTTTTTTTTAAAAAATATGTTCAACTCCTGCACTGTGTTTCAGGAGTATTCTAAGCATGCCTACTTGATCTGGTCAGAGGACAATGTGAGAGGATCATAGCTGTCTAGTGCCATTATATGTACTTCCCTGTTCTCTGCCTGGCCTTCACCTTATTTTAGATGCCCTAGAGTACTAGGATTCCTACATCAGACTAGAAAGTCTGACATGGGGTTTGTAAACAACCAGAGCCCTTCCAGAGTGTCAGCTGAAGACTGGGCAAGATGGAATCACAGAAGAATGCAAGTCAGAGGTCACCTGTGGAGCTCACCTGGTCCTACCTCCTAATCACATCAGGGTCAGCTTGTTTGGAAGTTAGATAGAGGTGCTCAGGGTCATGTCCAGGTGAAATTTTAATACATCTGAGGAAGGAGATTTAACAGCCTCCCTGGGTAATCAGTTCCCATGGCTGACCATTCTAACAGTGGTATTTCTCCCCTGCCCCTTCTATCTAATTGCATTTTGCAACCCATGATCATTGCCTTATGCCCTTTTGCTGTTCCCTTGGAGGAGAGTCTGGCTTCATACTAACAGTATAGCACAAATTGCACCAAGGGATGTTCAGGTTGGGCATTAGGAAAAATTTCTTCACTAGAAGAGTGGTTAAGTATTGGTACAGGTTGCCTAGGGAAGTGGTGGAGTCATCATCACTGGAAGTGTTCAAAAAATGAGTAGATGTGACACTGTGATATGTTTTAGTTGGCATGGTGATATTAAGTTGAAGGTTGGACTTGATGATCTTG